ATGAATGCAGTTCCTGTTCCCACGTCATCCGAAATGAGGAATATCATAAAAAGTATGGACAGTTACTTAGAAGCACATTCCAATGGTGAAATGAATAACAAAATGTTTGACATTGGACAATTTGATGCTAAACAAAGACAATGCAAAGAAAAATATCAGATTATTTTCCCAAAACTCAATAAATGTTTTGTTTTTAAAAACTTAGAGAAATTTTGTATTAAATTCCATTAAGTTCTTGTGGATGTTTTTTGTTTTATTGTTTTTTTATTAAATACATGCATATATACATATCTATGTAAATAAATGTACTCTAATAAGCTTAATTTTGTTGAATATATGTTTTTTTTTTTTTTTTTTTTTTTTTTATATTTTTTTCTTTTCAATTTCTTTAACACGAAAAAATATTTCAGTCCCCTCAGTTTTGTGTTAAATGATTTCACTGTATATCTGTTGCACATAAATCCCTTTCTTACATAAAACATAAATGGATGTATAGAATAACTAAATAAATTGTAAAGGAAGTTTAATTAGCAACTATGAAATCTTAAAAAAGTACATAGTATGAAATTTATAATGGCAAACATTAAAAATAGATGAAAGTAAATAAAATTTAAATTATAGAATGTACTTTATAAAATTAATAATAAGTGGTTAAAAATATTTTTTAATTACTTCAAACATGGAAGTTATTTGGCAGAGATTGTTGGATATAAAATTACTACTTCAAATTTTCAGATTACTATTGTTCATATTTAAAGTCTCAACTTGCAGTCTTAATCCACATAACAACCATTGTAAAAATCACCTGTTATCATATTCCAAAGATCAGCAGCATACATTTTTTTCACAAATCGTGCATATATTAAATAGTGGCTTTTGACAGTCAAGTTGATACAAATAAGATGAACTGTTTTTATGATTTTAGACTAGAGTTTATTCTTCCATTCACTTATTACAATATTTCATTTTTTTATATGCTCGGCTATCCAAAATTTCAAGAGCTTTCCGATATTTTTTTTATTTTTATTATTTTTTTTTTTTTTGTCGAGTTTTTACTATACATACATTTCATTTTCAGCATTTACATCGTCACAATTGCACAGACACATACTTGAAGTGAATTTACTTTTACAGCTAAACACAGGAACTGGAAACAAAAAATACTTATTCGGAGATTGTATTTCTTTTTCGTTCATGAAAATCAAAGTTCATTACACAAACATGCATTCACACTGCACAAGCATGTATGGAAATTCTTAATACATTTAGTTAATCCTGATAATTGATTACGCATTTAGTAAAATAAATCAGAAAATATTTAATGTATAACAAATGAAACTAAGTTTTAGTTTAGTTAGCTTTTATAAGAAGCTTTTAATAAAACAGAACATAATAACCACAGTTACGAAGATATTTAATGTTATAAAGTTAGGTAATTTAGTAAATTTCAGTTGTTCATCCAAGCAATGAATGAATGAAGTTCCTTGTATATCTTTATAAATGAAATTTTACTGCTGTTTTAAGCAATTAAACAACTGTTCAAGTTATTTAAAAAATTTTGAAATATATACACTAAAAGAAACAACAAAATGTATTAATCTATTTGTCAACCTTGATTTTGGCATAAAAGTCTGCACAATGCTTGGTAGTTTTTAAGCACATAAAGGTACTGCAATTCTTTCTTATTCCTTAATCTGAAGTTTTCTGCAAATTTTTTTTTTTTTTTTTTTTACACATTGCTGTATTGGCCCCACATACAATTTTTTTATAGTGGCTTCAGATGTGGATAAGTTTTTCGAACACTTTCGTTTGTTTTACTGGCATCGCTGAATTTTGCGATGAAATGCAGCACAATTCTTGCCGAGTGTCACCTTCCAGATTTTTCATACTGTTAATGTATACATCAGCAAATGAATTATTCTCCTCTTTCCTCAAATACACTACGGCGATAAACAATAACCATTCACTAAAGATTTTGCGTAAATTGCACCTCATAATAATTTAAATTGCGAAAATCTCACAATTAGTACCTAAACACACTATTCAGCAGCACAATTCTTTCGAAAGCGCGCCGTAGTAGTCAAAAGTGGGGTAGGCGTCTTGCCAGGTGAAACTAGTCGATATTTCCGTGACGTCAAAAATTCGAAAAGTGGGGTAGGGTTTGGAAATACGCATCTCGGTCTTTAGCGAAGAAAGTGTGTTGAAAAAAGTGTGTGAGAATAATCCAAGGACCAGCATACGTCCCACTGCCCCCTTAATTAAGAATGTCTCGTACCAGTGCCCAGCGTGTCTTGAACACCGAGTCCTACCACGTCTTTCGTCCCCAAAGGGTTCAGTTATTGCTCCTCGATGACCATCCTGAACGTGGGCGTTTCGTAGGGTGGTTTCTGGAAGAAAGTCCCTGCAATGTTGATTTTACAGATTATGTGTTGTAAGGCCACATTCAATAGGGATGGCATATTCAATCACCACAATCGGTTTTTGTGGGCTCGAGAGAATTCCCATGCTGTGCGGCACCACGCGGCACAACAACGCTTCAAAGTTAATCTATTGGCAATATTGGTCAGCGCCTGCTTAGTCGGGCCATATCTTTTACCCTCCAGGTTGAATGCCGCGAATTATCTGATCTTTCTGAAGCAGGTTCTTGGTGAACGATGTTCCACCAAATGTGCGGCGAAACAATGTGGTTCCAACATATCGAGATGCTAGCTCATTTTGAACTGGATGTTCGTAGGCATTTGGACAGATCGATCACGCATCGATGGATTGGGCGTGGTGGACCGGTTCCAAATAGTGAGTGTGGTGTGGAGGTTCCAAACGGTATGTGAATCCGGTGAGTCTGGAACCGGTTTCAAACCGGTTCACCGGATTTACCGAGCCTTGATTTCTTTTTATGGGAAGCCATCAAAAGTGTCATGTATTACACACAGATCGTATTTTATTCTCGAGTGTCAAGATGTAGAAACATCTTTTTACTTGGCTTCTGATAAAGATCGGGTGGGGGAGAAAGAGTAGGGTGAAAGGAGTGCTGGAGGCGGATGAAAGAGAGTGAGGTCCGCACTAGCGGCGGCGAAAAAAAGGGGGGTGTCAAGTTCAGTGTCGTTATAAGATGTAGCCGCGGGGGGTAAAACCGCAGAGTCAGTTTAGCGTGAATGAGTCAATTAAGGTTGTGATTCTTATGTGGGAAGGATATCACAAGGGTAACGATGTTTGTCTCTGGGACGCGGGGAATGTCTGAGAGTGCTAATAAGGCTATTACTGTGGGTTTTTACTGAATAAAAGAAGTTGACCGCTAATGGTTTAATATACTCTTGAATAAGTTCAATTCGAAGGTCTCTGTGAATATAGATGTTGGGAATATACCAAGGAGCATTAATAATTTCTCGTAGAATTTTATTTTGTAGAATTTGTAATTGTTTAATATTGGTTTTAGCTGCATGTCCCCAGATCGGTGCTGCATACAGGAGAGCTGGGCGCAGTATGGAGCGATATAGAACTAATTTGTTTGTAGTAGATAAGTTGCTTTTTCTACTAAGAAGAGGTCGCATAGTAGCTGTGGTGATTTTAAATTTTTGTACTACGGACCGGAAATGGGTTCTGAAGGTAAGTTTTTGGTCAAGGGTGACTCCAAGGTATTTGGTTTCATTAATCCAGTCTATTTCTTCGTCAAATATTTCAGGGGGGGGGAGGATAGTATTTCATGTTTCCTTTACAGAAAATTATTGCCTTAGTTTTATCAGTGTTAATTATAATCCTCCAAAGGGTAAGCCATTTTTCCAGTTTTATGAGATAGTTTTGGAGTTGATTTCTTACGGCGATAACTGTGCAGGCTTTAGTAAGTATGGCGGTGTCATCGGCAAAGAGTGCAAGATGAACAGAAGGGTCTTTAGGGATGTCTTGTGTATAAATATTAAAAAAGGTACGGCGAAAGTGCCGACCCCTGTGGGACACTAGCATTGATTACTCTGGTGGTAGAGTAAGTAGTACCGATTTTTATTCTGAATGTTCTGTTGCTGAGAAAAGAGGCTATTAAGCGAATAAAATGATCTGGAAAATTGAGTGATTAGTTTGTAAATAAGGCCTCGATGCCATACCCTGTCAAAAGCTTTCGCGTAGTGTATTAAGATCTTTTTGTGTCTGAAATGGATCTGTGGCAAGGCTCGCCTGCGGAGCTGCTACTGTCAAAGAAACTGCCGGTGTGTTTGAATATGTTCGGCAATCATTGTTCCGTCGGAGTCACACATGTTTGGCGTCTAATGGTGCAAACTTCAAGCATCTGTTGTAACATTCAAGCTATCGTACGCCATTTGTATTTATGTCCAATAAATGTTCCAAATTAATCGCTATCTTGTTTCATTTCCCATCTTTTAACTCAGCTACTACTTACCCCTGACATTTCTGGGCATGGATTCCTATGCAATTCTTAATCCTTATGATGTGTCCTACCTCCCCCAGAAGTTTGTCGCAGGAATTTACGGGACATCCTGTATATTGTATTAATATTATGTTTTCAGGATCCACAACAGTTCGGCAGCTTTCTGAATTAACAACTTACTACCATACTCATCATAAATGATTTTCTTTTACTCTGTTCTTATAAATAATCAATAAAAGCCTTTAAAATTATATTTTATTTTTCATTATTTGAAATATTGATTAGGAAAGTCTAATTGTTTGATTAGGGGTAAGGTTTCGTTTGATGAGTACACCATTACTTGGAGGAGGTAAGGCCAAATAGTCATTTACAGGCCTGATCAAGGCCAAGATCATGATTGTTTGTTCTGGAAATAAAGCTTTCGTGCAGTCAAAGATAGCTTTCCTGCATCCAAAATTGTAATTTTTAACAGGGAAAGGCTGTTCGAATTTTAGATTTAAAAAAATACATTTGCATTGTAAAAACTTAAAGGTTTTCAAATTTAACTTTTAGTTTTGCTGTGTGGCATATATTTGTGAAAAATATGAAGCGCCATCTCTCGGTCATTATGGACGCACAACCGGGAGATGTTTAAAACTAATTTAGTGCAGTCAATCGTGAATTCCTCTTCGTACGTTTAACGAAAAGGAAATTTACTGTGAGGTTTCTTTACGTTCTTTCTGTAGTTTGGGAGTTTACTAATTAAATGCGATTAAAGTTTATTAACTGTTAATTTGTTTTTTGTAAATGTCTTACTTGTATTACCGACTGTCCTTTTTGGGAACTGAATAAACTGTTTATTGTTTGTGTTAATGGATCCTGAGTTAAAATTGTTTTAACTTTGTTTCAGTGTTCAGTAGATTGCTTCAGCATGGATTTTGAAGTTATAGCTGCCTTTTGTTTTATGCCCCTGTTGATGCTTGTAGCAGCTCAAGGTTGGGCATGGATGATTTGTGCATTTACTTGTTTACCTTTGGTATTGGTGTTATATTACTATAAAATGTTAGCTTCGAAAACCAGGACTCGCTTTTTCCTTGCTTGGAGTATTGTATCATTCTTCTTTTTGCTTGCGGTATTCGAATTAGAAGTTGTTCCATATTTAGAAATCCTATTCTCTGAGAATTTTGTTCTAATGTGTTTTGTGGCTACTATGTGCATATTTGTATATTTAGTTAAAACGAATTCTCAGCCAGCATCGCTTTCAGCTCAGGCAACTGAAAGAGCGACAAATAAAGCTGACCAAACCAAAAAAGTAAAATGTGAAATATGTTCGTGCATTCAGCCTGCAAGAACTAATCATTGCGATCTGTGTGGGTACTGCATACACAAACGTGATCATCACAGTGTATGGTAAGTATTTATCTGTTATTACTTGTTACGGCAAGAACTAGCATGCATTTAGTAATGAGTTAAAGGAAAATTATGAGTGTGCAGTATTTAAATTCGGAGGCTATCAGCTGTTGCTAAACTATTGGAAGATGAGATAGTGTTAAAGTAATGATTTCCATTGCTGATGCTTTCACTTTAATTTTTATATTTGCGCGAGATCTGTATATGTCTTGTGCTTTCAGTGTTAGTATAATACAACATCTCAATATTATTCTTTGAAAACTAGTCATTTGATGTTATAATGAGGACAGTGAATGACTGTTGTGTATCCGTATCATAAAAATGTAACAAAAGATATTTAATTTAGTTTAGATAGATTGTTCATTGTAATATAGATCTATGTAGAATGCTCAAATCATTCATCTCAGTAGAAACACGAGTAAAAAGTAAATCATATGAGGTACTGTGCGTTTAAAAAATGTACTAGTACATTAAAAATTGTGGATATAAATTAACTAGCAATACATTTTATTGTATAGGGCTTGTTGCTTAAAAAAGATGCTAAGCAATGAAGTTAATTTAATAAATTTAATTTTAATTTTTCATATAATTTGAGACATTTTATTTAACTTTCATTATATACTATTTACAGTAAAGTTAATTAATATTTGTATATGCATTAATTTATACTTTAGTATTTGTGTTGTGTAATATTTTTAGATGCTTAAAGATGGGCTAAAAAGAAAAATGCAGTATATAGGAATAGAAGATGATGTACAAGTGAATACAGCTCCTTGAGATGATTTGAGCACCTGTTGCAGAAGCTACATTAACCATTAAATAAAATAAGCGTATGCTTTGGACATCAAGGAAAGGCACACCACAAAAATATCTGATTGCCAGTTTTAACTAAGGAATGTGTGATGCAGCTAAACCAAAAAATTCTGAGGAGTTAGAAGACGATTACGAGCCCCATGTATTGGCCTTTTTAGGTGTAGAATAATAATTAGGATTTAGGAATCTTTTTTTTTTTTTTAATCAGGTTTTGAAAACTAATTCTCAGATAAAAAGTTACTCATTTCATTCCTCAAATGAAATGACACATTCAAAGCATATGATGGTTAACAAAGCTTAACTGCATATTCTGTAATAAGGCTAAAATATTAGTTTTAGATTTGAGTCAATATTTGGGTTTACAATTTTTTTTTTTTTTTTTTTTCCCTTACTGAAAAGGAATTTAAAATCTGTAAATATTTATTAGTCAGATGTAAAATGATCTCATGACATTTAGGAGCAGGGAATGCGTAAAATTGCCAAATATAGAATGCTTCCTCAGATAACAGTTTAAAATACCATATTTAGTCAGTTCTTAGAACCTTGTGCTCTTGATTGAAGTGTTCAGATCTGTTTTTAACTCCATGGTATGGACTTTTAAGATTCTGGATGTGTAAGATCTAATGAAATATTCTATCAATTTGTGAAGTGGGGGAAAAATACAGTTTTCGTACCTTTAATAATATTTATTGTACAATATAATTTTTGTTGTTACTTACCACCTCATGCCAGTGTGATGGTAATTTATGGGTACCATTTTTGAAAAATATGTCCTTAGAGGTAAAGAACTCAAGTAGTGGTTAGCTGACATATGTTTCAGTTTTGAATTTTTTTCCTCTTCAAAAATTTTGCAAGGAGAGAAACAAGGGATAGACAGCGTGGTAGGTCTGGTAGATGCAGTCAAATTTTCCAGCGTAGCTCTGCAGTTTTTTGATAAGTTGCTAAAGCAGCATGTGGTCTGGCATTATCATGATGCAGAATAGTGTGCTTGCTATTAAACATTGTTGGCCTTGTTTTTCGACTGCATTGTTTAAACTGCCCATTTGCGGACAGTATCTCTCTGAATTGAGCTTTTCTTTGGTCCTACTTTGGTAGACGGATGCATAGGTTTTTGGTGAAAAAAAATTACATTTGGCGGTTGCAATAGATGATGATCAATACAACGATGGCAACCAATAGTTTGACATTTTTAATAGTTATAGTGTTTGACATTATTTAATTGTTAAAATAATGCATTTTAATATGTATAAATTTTGTTTTTTATCTATTATTTATGGTTGTTAAATTCAATTTCAGATAAAAGTATATTTTAGGTACCCCTTGGCGAAACTTAGTGATTTTTGGTGGTAAGTGGATACCAAGTTTGTGCAATTCTTTGACTTGTTATTTTGGGCCAAAAATTGCCGATACACAAAGCCAAAATAAAAAGATAAAGAATTGCACAAACTCTATATCCATGTACACATCGACCTATTTTCACTTAAAAAAATTAGAGAATTGCACAAACTAGGCTTTGCGCTCCCTTGACTTTGTCCATGTACATATCGAACTATATTCACTTAAAAAGTCAAAGGAGCAGCCAACAAAAAATATATAATCTGAATAAACTACATTTTAAATCAAACAATAAAATGAAATAAAAAGGGAAATTCATCTTAGCACTACATGAAGAAAATATCCACTTTCCTTTATTTACGAATTTATGCATCTTCAGTCAAACAAAATTCCTTAACAGCATCTGAACTAGAATCTGTATACTGGTGTCGCCACATAAATTCACAAAATAAGAGTAAAAAATATCCGATGTTCGACCATACGCATTTCCTTCCTCCAAACTGGACACATAATAATGGCTACTAAGTAAATATTGATTTACACACCAGTCAGTTAATGGTTTTTTCCCTTTCCTTCCAAATCCTACAGAAACTTCAAATTTATCTTACTACAATCAGCCAATTTACCATGTAAATCACAAAATAACAACTTACTAATCCATCACACGCAAGCCTTTACCCCAAATCTGACACACATTTTCCAAATTTTTTCCCATGATTCAAATTCGCCACAACCATTTACATCGTAATAGGGTTTCCATAGGCTTCAACTACCCAGGTTGTCATAAATGAGACAACAACTTGGCGATAATGAAACAACAATTTCTCGATAATACAAGGAGTACCCTAAAGTCAACTCTAACCCAATTTAATATTGCATTTTTATTTGAAATACTGATTTTGTTGTATATGATATTTGAAATAATTGTATGGTGTGGATGAAGTAATCAGTGACATCATTTTATTTATAAATTAATGTGTTTTAATACCTGTGTGTTTTAATATTTATAAATCTTGTGTTTTAAATATTATTTATGGCTGTTAAATATTAAAAACTCGACTTAGATGTCTTGGGCTCGTATTATGCTCATTTCCTAATGATTTTTTTGTAGGTAATCCACTTTTCATTTCTAATTATCGTCTAGCCCAAAAAAGGGCTCATTTTTGTTCTGAGCAAGCAACGATGCACATACGATGCCTCAATAAATTTTTCGCATTTAACTCGCAAGGTACTTATTTGGAATATTTATAGACCAAATCTAGTTTCCAAATATGATCTGAAATGGTGTATTGAGCTAAATTAAGCTTTTTTGCAATCCCTGATTTTGTCAGAAAAGGATCTTGCTCTGCCACGATCTTGATGATAAGATGCGTAGAGCATAGCTTGCGATTAACCCTTTTGTGGCATAGTGTGTCTGGTCTGGACACACCTAAAAATGTCCTTCTGTACGCACAGAAAAATTGAATGAAAAAGTATTTATAGGTTACTGTGCACCTTCTTTATTTATAGTAGATGATAGCTCAACACAAACCAGTCCATATATTTCAGCCATGTTTAGTTTTTTAATCCTTTGCAGCGCACTATACGTTAACGTCGCAGTTTCAACAAAAAACGTTGTATGCAGTCTATTTAATCCTAAAGGAGTATACAGGTAAAATTTGTAAAAATTGCACTTACCGTTTTAATTCTGTGGGTATTCCATGAGGTGGAACTGCGCCGCCAGAGCTTTCAAAGTGCGACTAAGCGAGCACTGCAGTGAAGCACGACGATGAGTAGAAGCGTTGTATAAGAATGAATAAAATCTGTATTATGGCTGTATACACGGTTTCCTGGATATACATAATATTCTTGAATATATACAGATAAATAAGATAAGTATCTATATACACAAGTACTATATACAAAAATATTTACAAATTTTCGGAAAGAGTGCTTCGAAAAGAGTTAGGCCTCTCCGCACCATTTATGGAAGAAAATTAATAATAAAAAAATTAACTATGATTATATTAACAATAAAGAAAAATAGGCCTATAATATATACATACACGAAAAATATCTACACAATTATTGAAAATAAACGAGAATGATACTGAAATGCGACAGCAAAAAAATTCGCGCAGGTCTAAGTAAAGATGAGTCAAGCTACTAATGAAATTCCTGCCTAAAAGCTACTCCCAAAAAATTCGAGATGCCCAATATTAGGGCTTTCATAACAGAAAACACCCCTCACCCCTCAATACTGCTTTGTTTGAATTCATCCCCCCCAAACACCATGGAGGTAGGAAAGGGAGGAGGGGCCATTCCGCCTAGAAGTGAAGCACGCTTTGAAGCTTGGGTCACCAACGGGTGTTTCTTGTTTACATTCAGAAGCTCGCTTGACAGATTCTGATAGTATTCGACACACAGTTCCATAGAATCGAAAAAGGGACACACCTCGCATGAAGAAACAATCATAGTGTGATGGATAATAGCAATTTGTATAGTTTACTGACATTTACGCAAAATCACATCTTGGTATTTTTCGATAACTAACAACAGCGATTTGATTATAATTGTTTTATAAAATCTGCTTTGGCACTACAAATATAGATTTTAAGAAATGTTATGCTTAAAGAATGAAAATACCTTCGGTACATTTAAATTTGTATACGTCTTTCGATACCTTGATAGAGTATTCGCTACTTTTATTTTATGTTCCAACGTTCAAAACGTTTTAAATAAAACAATTTTTTTTCATCCATATATTATTGTAACATGTACCTTTTTAAAATTTTTAGAGAAGAGGCTTACTGCTGCTCATTTTAAAACCATCGTTTAATTTTATATATCTGAAAAAATATCACTTTGGCTACACGTTTTACTTATTTGGGTTAATTAAAAAAATTACCATCAAATGCTGCAATCCTCGTCAAAATTAATAAATATACACGACAGTTAGCTTTCCCTTCATTGGAACCACAATTGTGATGAATGGTAAAAAAAAAAAAAAAAAAAAAAAAAAAAATCTGATAAGTATAATTAAAAGAATTATTCCCTTACATTTTATATAAACTCAGTTACAAGTTTAAATAATACTTAAAAAAAAAAAAAAAAAAATATTTATTCCCTTTCAGAAATGTCAAGAAAGTCAAAACTATTTAATACCTATTTATTATTAGGAATTAGCGAAATACTATTTAAAGTATTTCACTATTCCTAATAATCTCTAATTAAAATGAACGAATAGAGCATTATTTAAATTGACATTTTCGATTTAAAGATGCCTAGCCAAAAAATCATGTCCTATTAAGAAAGTATTTAGGAAGAAGCTCTATAAAAAAAGAAAATGCATATTTTAATATTAATAATACAATAATTTTGTACTTAACCCTCTTATTTGTTAATAAAATCGAATTACCTTAATTTTTTTTTTCATGTAATTAACGAAAACTTGTGAAAATATTTCATTCAATTAAACCATTCTGAGAAAACTGTCCGTGAAAGCTGCATTTAATTCCGTTCAGAATGAAATGTTGTTTAAAAATATTTGTTTTCACATACTAGGACTTGAAGTGTTGTAGAAAAAGAAATATATACATTTATATGTGTTTTGCGACGTAATTACAAAATATTTACACCCGAACGCGTCAAATCCCATAGAACTCAATGGTAAATGACCCAATGTTTTGGTCACCACGTAGGGATCGCCGGTGCTTCAGAGCAGGGTACGGAGAAACTTGTTTAGGGCGACTCCTTCTTACTTCCTACCTCCATGCAAACAACGGAAACAGAAAATGTAAACAACGGATGTTCTCTCCTAAGCACAGATGTTCTGATTGGTAACAGCATGAGATTGCTAAAGGCGCAGTGTTCCCGCTAATGGAACACCCGGGTTTATTCAATGATTCTGCGTATGATTTTGTATGAAAGATTAAAAAATATAATAGAACAAATAATCTGGAGTACAGCCAGCAAAATTATGCCTAATTTTTTTTCCAAATAAAATTTTTTATATCATTAAAAAAAATAGAGAAAATTACTTGAAAAAAAGTGGATTTTAATAACACATAATAAATGAAAATTCTGTGTCTCCTTGTGATATGCTGCTATCTACTGTTTAAAAAGAAAAGTTCAAAGTATATTATAAAGGCATTTTTATCTATTTACGGTTGAATTTAAAGGTTTCAGAAGCAATTTGGGTGTTTCATGTAGTGGAACACTGAGCCACAAAGGGTTAAGACCTTTATTTTTCGAAGAAATCTTCCAGATTTTTTTAGGGTATAAAAGGAATTGTTTGAAAAGAAATTTCTATGTTATTTTTTGGCGGTATGCTAATCTCCTTATTCTATATTAGTTTTAAATTATTACCTTGAAATCTTGCCTAAAATCAAACGGCGAACTAGGTGTGACCAGACCGGGCTCACTGATAATTTAGGAACAACTGTGAGTCTGTATTCTTTGTTTCTCCACATTTCATCAGTCAGTTCATTAACAACAATGTTCGTTTCAGCACTCTTTTTGAAGCTCTATTCAATTAGTGTGCCCACTTTGGCACACCCACAGAATTAAAACGATAAGTAAAACAGTTGATAGTTAAACTTATCGTTATTAAATGCAGAATTAAAACCATAAGCTTAAGTGCTATCTTCACAAAATTTTACTTCTGGGCTTAATTAGACTGAATACCTTTTTTCTTTTTTTTTAAATCAAAACTTCGACTTGCCAGAAAGCGTGCCAGAAAGGGTTAAGCTCAAAATCACTTGCTTCAGATTTTTCGAATCATCTCCTGCACATTCTATCCAAAACTGCATCTCCACCAAAAACTGTCAGGAAATTTCAGCATGCTTCCATTGTGTGGTTAGAGGAGAGAGAAGGGTACCCTTTGTATTATTGCAAAGTTGTTTCATTTATTGCCAAGTTGTTGTTTCATTTATTGCCAAGTTGTTGTTTAATTTGTGGTAGCCCGAGTAGTTGAATGTTATGGAAATCCTATTATGGCGTAATCGGTTGCATGATTGTGGTAAATTCGTAAGGGCTTGTGGTGTGTTTGGTTAGGAAGTATATTGCTTGTTTTGTGGTTTAGATGGTAAAATGGCTGAATGTGGTAAGATTAATTTTAAGTTTCTGTATGATTTGGAAAGAAAGGGGAAAAGAGCATTATTTGACTGACGTGTAAATGAAGGTTTACTTAGTAGCCATTATTAGGTGTCCTGTTTATAGGAAAGAAATGCGTATGGTCGAACATCTGAAATCCGTACTGTCGAATGTCGCTATGGAGGATATTTTTTTACTCTTTATTTTGTGAATTTATGTGGCAACGCCAGTGTACAGACTCTAGAACTAAGAAACTAAGCAAGCAACTAAGAAACATCCTTTTGTTTCATGGCAAATTCTACTGCACATTCACTGGGGCAGAAGAATACGACCAACAATTTTTTTTTTTTTTTTTGTCAACTTCAACAATATTACCAGTGCCCTCTGTTTCAACTGATAGTCTAGACTAGGGCTTCTTAAACTTTTTTCAGTCATGGACTCCTTTTTATCATTGTGATTTTTTTTTTTTGTGACCCCTGGATCCCATAACATTTACGAAAATTTTGTGGGACCCCATAAGCATTTCGCAAATCCGACATACGCATGAGTAAAACCTTCAGTTTTTTTCATTTGTAGTGTTATATACTATTGCAGTTTTAGGTCCTTAACTTTAATTTCTAATTTTAAGACATAGAACAGTGTGAAAATTTTAAATAAGTACCAGGTGAAATGAGAGCGTCACAAGCAAAGCAAGTAAAATGAGCGTTTATATTATTAAAAGAATGCGTCAAAACGGTTTTGTTTTCCCCCTTTGTCTGTATTGTCTTATCTTTATCTATTTTCAGATACACTATGTTAAAATATTTGGTAATTTTAAAATTGTTATAATAAGTTAAAGAAATATCAAAACTGCTAAAATTTTTGACAACCTCCTGCTGCAGGTCCCGCGACTTACAGTTTAAGAAACTCTGGTGTAGACAGTAATGCATGGCGGCAGACTTCCCTTATATAACTGTTCCAATCAATAACAGTGCAGTTGATCTGGCAAAGTTGATAAGTTGATCTAACAAAATTAATTGGAAGTTAATTCTAAATGCCATGTATAATTGAAACAATTTGCCATTAAGAAACTGGTAAATCTCAAAATTAGTTCAATCCTTCAAACCAATTTTGAGAATGCAATCCATTTTTTTTTCCCTCAGCACATCATATCTTCACATCTCCATTTGATTGCTTTCTTTGAATTGAAGAGCTTCATTTTATGGTTTTCTACTCACGTTCTTTTAGAGTGAATATTTCCTCCTCGTTGATTGCATGGAAGATGTTTCATTATTAGATAAGTTCCAAATTTTCATATCCATGGTAAATACAGTAATAATAAAAACACAAATGATCATTACATCTTTAGAATTTGTATTCTCGTTGCTAATTTTGGAAAGGCATTCTTGTACGTATTTTTAAAAGTAAATATTATAATGATTTTAAAAGTAAACATTGGCAACTTCATGTGAACCAGTCTCGTGAGTTTAGCAAAACACTGGCAGCAAGTGCGGTCCCAATAACAGAACAGTACCAGTATTTATAATAAGAAAATTTGAAGGAAGGTTAAGACATAAAATATTAAATATGTGAAATTCAAAGTATTATGAAAGAAATTTATGAAATGCAGCAGTTTAGAATTGAATTTTAGGTATATTTATTTTAAATCTTTCATAATGTGTTAAATCGAAATTAACATACTATGAGAGATATTTTTGGAATTTTATGGAAGCTGCTGTAATAATCAAAATAAAATTTCTTCAAAATTCAGTAATAAATATCTTTATTTTAGGTTAGACATATGTATAGGCTCTAGAAACCAGAGATACTTCATTATTGCTCTCATTGCTTTAGCAATTGCTTGCTTTTATAGCAGCAATTTGACACTGACCACTATTTGCCATCCAACCCTCGTTGGTGGGTTAATTTTGCTGCCAGATGATTGCAGTGACGTATTTGGAGACATTCAGTAAGTAGCTCTTTTAAAAAGTATTCTGTATGATTATTTTTTTAAGCATATGAATTATGCTGTAGGTTTACTGTCCTGACTAACAGCAGATGTTGTTCAGGTGATGTGGAATCAAAAACACATTTTGTGCATTCAAAATTATTGGGTGAAAACTGTCATTTTATGCTATAAGATCAATAATAATGCAAGTTCTGGATATCCTGATTTTTTTTAAGGTGTTATAGGTAGTTTTTTAATACAGTACAAAATCATTACTATATTATGACAAATACAATGCAAGAGTTGTCTGAAATCAAAAGCACTCACTGATACTTATATTCACTGATATTGCTGATAGTGTCAAGTCAAATGCCATTTATTAGTTGCTTTAAGAAAAAGGTAGGTACTCTCTGATTATCTCCCCCCCTCCTCCTCCTATGAAAGTTGGAACTCATTTTTGGTTTAATTTTTTCCAGAATTAATAGGCAAAAGGCAACAGCTTTTTCGAAAAGAATTCCATAAAAGAGCAGTTAATGAATAACGTTTAAAAAGCAAGAAACACCTGCAGCATAATGTATATATTTTCAAAAAATCCTTATGTATTTTATTTATTGTTTTTACTTCTCACTCCATTCCTCTGCCATGAAAATAAGAATACAGTGGCAAGTCTTTGTTCTTTTTTAAACAAGAAATTTCTTCACAAAATTCTTTCTTTTGTACTAATCTTACGAATACATCTGAAGCTTGGTCCAGTTCTTCTGCACTTAAATTTCCCAGTTTGGGCTCCCTGGGATATTTCATTTTATGGAAAAACCTGAAAATAAAGTTTAGTGAAAGTCATAGTTTAATTCATTAGTAAAACCGATAAGCTAGAATGTTTTAATGCTTCTTCAAAGTGCTCATCCACAGGTGTTGTGACCTAGCCCTCAAAAATCGAGCAGGCAGGTCTACTCTACCATAAGGGAATTGTTCAACAGCTGTGTAGCTGAGGTACCTGCAGAATTATTGGTTATTGGAACATACCTCCAGGCAAAATTTGGGCACAAAGAATTTATTAGCTCAACTCGATTAGACACAAAGGTTTTCAGCCCTTCAGTAGTCATCTTGTTTCAGGTTAACATAACCGTTGAATCACTCAACAGATAATTGTAGTTGAACTGGATTTGAAAAACTGGAACTTACCTTTGCCACAAGGCAGATTAAAAGTAAAACAGTTTATAGTTGCAGTTGTTTATACTGTTGCAGAAGTGTTAGAGCTTTAATTGGGCAAACTCTTGATTTGCTGCAAAGTGGACTAATTTTTATATCTCCATTTCTAGAGATATAAAAATTTCTTTGCATTCTGCATCACAGAATCCATGAAGACTAATAATAATGGTATCACATATAAGGACATACAGGGGTTGGACAAAAATATGGAAACACCTTTAAAAAAACATGTTTCTTTGCTTAATATGGTGTAGGAAACCCGTTGGCATCCAAAACAGCTTGCAGTCTTCTCGGAATGGATAAATACAGTTCCTGTATGTTTGCCAAGGGAATATTATACCATTCTTCCTGCAAAATGGTGGCAAGTTCAGATAACGATGTTGGCGGTGGATAACGAGAACGCACTTTCCGTTCCAATGTAGACCACAAAGGTTCGATAATATTCAGGTCTGGTGACTGTGGTGGCCAGGGAGATGGGACAACTCATCCTCGTGCTCAGAAAACCAGTCCTGGACAATGTGGAGCTGTGTGAACAGGGGCTTTGTCGTCTTGGAAGACACCATCACCATCGGGTAACAAAGTTTGTACCATGGGATGAACTTGATCGGCCAAAATGTTCACATAAGTCTTGGTAGTCATGTGCCCTGACACAGTTATCATGGGCTAGCAGAGAACCACGATATGGCTGCCCAAACCATAACAGAATCCCCGCCATGTTTCGCTCTTGGCAACAAGCAGTCTGTATTATAGGCTTGAGATGGCGTTCTCCAGACGTAAACTCGGCCAGAAGTGGGAAACAATGTGAAAGAAGACTCATCAGACCATATCACTCGCTTCCACTGCTCTATAGGCCAGGTTTTATGACTTAAACACCACCTTTTCCTGTTACGGGCATTAGCATCGCTGATGAGAGTCTTCTCAATTGCAGCACAGCCAGCAATTCCCTGTTTATGAAGCTCCCTTCTAATTGTTTTGGTACTCACAGGGTTCGGTAACACAACATTCATTTCAGCAGTAACTTTTGCAGCTGTGGTCTTCTTATTTTTCGTCACAATTGCCCTTAATGATCGTCTGTCACGATCACTCAGGACACACTTTCGTCCGCGCTGTGATTTAGCAGATGATGTTTTTCCGCTTTTTAAATATGCGGAATAAATCTTCGATACAGTACCTCTTGAAACACTAAACACCTCGGCTACCTTGCTTAATGAAGCACCTACCATACGTGCTCCAACAATTTGCCCACGTTCGAAGTCTGTTAACTCTGACATAATGCAATGACAACCTCACATAACAGTACTCCGACAACAAATGAACTGTTTAGCACATTTACGAAGTTGTATAGGTGGCATCAGTAGTCGAAAACACCAGCGCCACCTACATATTTCATTAAAATCAATCTTTCTTTTCAAACATGCATTTCATAAGGTGTTTCCATATTTTTGTCCATCCACTGTATCTAGGAATTTGTAATTTAATAATTTCTGGTAACTCCTTTCGAAATTCTAACCAGCTCTTTAATTCACTTACTAAACGGAAAGGGATTGTTCGTATTGAGTTTATTCTTCCACATTTCTTGGAGATATAATTTGGCATGAGCGTTTGACAGATATAATTTGGCATTAGCATCCAAGAAATGTGGATTGCCAACAAAACCCAATGGGTCAAAGAGCGGAGTGATAGTTGGAAGAACTTCGCAAAATTGTTGGCAAACTGTTCAGACACTTTAAAATTAAAACAATCTGATGTAAGTTGCTATAATAAACCAAGAGTTTTAATTGTAGACTGCTCTGATGAGAATATGCATTTTCCGATTTTGGCGTCATTTAACAAATTGGGATGATTGGTAACCCATTTATGTAACTCCATAGCAACTGCAGCTAAAAGGTTTTTTAGTTCAATCTGCAAGTTCTTTGCTTCTTTTAAGTTATTCGATCCAGATAAAATGTTGTCAGCATATGTGTTGTTGATTAATACATGCAATGCCTGACCAAATTTCCCTTCTTCATCTTCAGCTTATGCTCACAGTGTTCTAGTTGCTAAAAATGGAGTACATGATGTTCCGTAAGTTACTGTTTTCAGTCTCCACAGAAGTAAACAGCTCCGGTTTTCACAATATCCATTGTAAATCTCTGTCAGCTCCATGTACTAGTATTTGATGATACATTTTCTTAATGTCTGCACTACATGCATACCTATGAGTATGAAATCTTAGCACAATAGAAAATAAATCTTGTTGTACAGTTCCTCCATTTAGCAATGTAGAATTGAGAAAAACACAGCACTTTATTTAGAAGACATATAAAAAACGATGTGGAGGGGAGCTGACATACTCTCAAGACAAAAAATGGCATAGTGAGGGATATAATATTCTATATTAGAACACTTATTATCTCTAATTCTTTCCATGTGATAAAGGGAGAGATAAATGCCTTAAATAATGTTGCCATGGTTTTATTTTTATATAATTTCTTCAAAAATAAATTTAAACGCCTTTCTGCTATTTCTTTTGATGCTCCCAATGTCGACAGTTTGTCTTCAGTTATTGATAACCTTACAATATATCTCCCATTTTCAATTCTCTTGTGTGTAGAAATGAAATATCCCTCACTGTACTGCTTTTCAAATGTTTCATCTCTTGCATTTTCTATGTGATCACCAGGAAAGGATTCTAACTCGAAAAATTGTTTGGCAGACATATCTAAATTATCTTCTTCCGAAATGAACATATTATTATACACTCAAAAGTCTTTAATCCGGACTCGTCGGGACTTCGGCGATTCCGGATTATCATTTTTTCCAGATTATAGAACATCAGTTTAAATCTGGTAAGATGGCATGCAGAAATTATAAAATTAAAAATATGAAACCGTAATTAATGAAATAAAGAGCAATTTTGATCTAAAGGGTATCAAAATTAAAAAAAAAAAGCTTAATATTTATTTGTTTCCTGTATTAAGCATTTCTTTCAATGCGCGCATGCGTAAAGCATACATTACGCTTAGTTGAAATTAGAAAATTGCAACCAGAAAACTATTTGATGTGTATTTGTGATATTTATAATGACAAGGAATTTGATTTAAATCATATCAAAGGTGTAAATCCAGTTCATTGCGCCCTGCAATGTCTTTCCCCCCCTGGCAGAGCAGCGTGAAATTGATAAACAGATTTCAGAATGGTTAGAGAAACAAAGGATATGCCTTTATACATTTTTTGCAGCAATTTCACTTTTTGTGTGATGGACAATGAAACATGCTTTCGCTTTGTAAATCCTTTGGCAGCTCCATAATCGGAAATTCTTTTTGACAGAATCGAAAGTTCAAGCTTACTTTTATAAAATTGCTCTAACAGTCTGCAAAAAATAATAAGCCGGATCCAGTTAGAAGATTAAGGAACGACGCAATCTGCAACATTAACTTAAAGGATCCAATTAGAAGATTAAGGAACAACGCAATCTGCAACATTAACTTAATTAGATAATTAGATAATTTTAGCTTAGCTTATACCATCCGTTATACATTAGGTGTGCATGCGCAAACGTATTACGTGTATGCGTCAACGCAATATGTGTTCATGCATGCGCAGAAAGTTTGTAGCTTTGAGGTCCGGATAATAGATCATTCCTGATTATGGACGTCTGGATTAAAGACTTTTGACTGTATAAGAAAATAATATATGTAAGAATAATGCCAAATAATAAATTGGAATCATAAAAGTCCTCAGTTTTCTTAAATCCCCATTGAAAAGTGAAATTTTTGTTTTGAAGTGCTTTCATAAAAATAGTTGAAGTTGAATGAAAATGCTTGTTAAAGTCACTTGATGCCAGTAAGTCTGCAAGATAAAAAAAAAAAAAAAAAAAAAAAAAAAAAAAAAAAAAAAAAAAAAAAAAAAAATATGTCCACAACACTTTTTAATGAAGATGGTTTCATTAAGTTTTGAAATTTGGTGTGGGGAACATCTTTTCATATAAAAATACAATTTAGAAGCAATGTACTAATAGGGTTCATTCTTCTCATCATAAGTAATTAACAATACTTTGACATATTTTAAAGCAATATGAAAATTCAATACAAAACATACACAGTCAAAAGTCTCTAATCCGGATGTCCATAATCCGGAATGATCTATAATCCGGACCTCAAAGCTACAAACTTTCTGTACATGCGTAAATGCATAATGTGTTTACGCGTGCACATAATACATTTACGCATGCGCATATGCATAATACGTTTACGCATGCATGTTTAATGTATCATGAACGGTATAAGCTAAGTTAAAATTGTCTAATTATCTATTTCAGTTAATGTTGCACATTGCGTTGTTCCTTAATCTTCTAATTGGATCCGGCTTATTATTTTTTGCAGACTGTTGGAGCAATTTTATAAAAGTAAGCTTGAACTTTCGATTACGTCAAAAAAAAAATTCCGATTCTGGAGCTGCCAAAGGATCTACAAAGCGAAAGCCTGTTTCGATGTCCATCAAACAAAAAATGGAATTGCTGCAAAAAATGTATAAAGGCATATCCTTTGTTTCTCTAACCATTCCGAAATCTGTTTATCAATTTCAGGCTGCTCTGCGGACAGGGGGACGTCGCGGCGCGCAATGAACTGGAAGTTGATCTGCCAGCACTATCCTTATCTTCATTGCAGATGTTTTTATTTTAATCTTCTTATAATTCCTTACTAAATGTAGTATTTCATCTCGATGTACTCCGTCTTTGATATGATTTAAATCAAATTCTTCATTATTATAAATACAGTTAAATTCGTTAATCCGGACTCGTCGGGACTTCGGCGATTCCGGATTATAGATTATCAATTTAAATCTGGTAAGATGCCATGCAGAAATTATAAAATTAAAATATGAAACCGTATTTTGAAATAAAGAACAATTATGATCTAAAGGGTATCAAAATTACGGGAAAAAAAAAAAAGCTTAGTATTTATTTGTTTACTTTATTAAACATTTCTTTCAATGTAAGTTGTTTAAGTTGCTTCGTTTTATGTGCTTCGTTTATGTTGCTTCGTATGTTAATACTTTCTCTTTAATTCTATAAACAGACATAATTTCTTGTTCAGTTACAAAGTTCCGCTGTTAAAGTCCTATAATTGCTGTGTCGAGAATACCAACTAATTTGTCAATCGAAATTTTTTCATTTTCAATAACCTCTGTGTCACTTTCTTCACTATCAGAAGCGAATTATAATGCCGAGGAATTTGATTTAAGTTATATCAAAGACAGTGTACATCTAGAGAAAATACCACATTTAGTAAGGAATTATAAGCCAAATAAAATAAAAACATCTGCCCTGAAAATAAGGATAGTGCTGACAGATCAACTTCCAATTCACTGCGCCCCCCCCCCCCGATCCGCCGCCGCAGAGCAGCATGAAATTGATAAACAGATTTTAGAATGGTTAGAGAAACAAAGGATATGCCTTTATCCATATTTTGGTCCAATTCCACTTTTTGTTTGATGGACATCGAAACATACTTTTGCTTTGTAGATCCTTTGGGAGCTCCAGCATCGGCAATTCTATTTGACATAATCGAAAGTTCAAGCTTACTTTTATAAAATTGCTCTAACAGTCTGCAAAAAATAATAAGCCAGATCCAATTCGAAGATTAAGGAACAACGTAATCTGCAACATTAACTGAAATAGATAATTGGATAAATTTAGCTTATGTCGTCCGTTATACATTAAACACACATGCGTAAATGTATTATGCGCAAACGCATATTCGCAGCCGTAAACGTCTTACGCGCATGCGTAAACACGATGCATGCGCAGAAAGTTTGTAGCTTTGAGGTCCAGATTATAGATCATTCCGGATTATGGGTGTCCGAATTAACGACTTTTGACTGTATCATGAATACTCATCAAATAGTTTTCTAGTTGCTATTTTCTAATTTTGACTATGCGTAATGTACTCTTTACGCATGCGCACGTTGAAAGAAATGTTTAATAAAGTAAACAAATAAATATTAAGCTTTTTTTTGTAAATTTTGATACCCTTTAGATCATAATTGCTCTTTATTTCATAAATTACGGTTTCATATGTTTAATTTTATAATTTCTGCATGCCATCTTACCAGATTTAAACTGATGTTCTATAATCTGGAAAAACCGATAATCCTGAATCCCCGAAGTCCCGACGAGTCCGGATTAAAGACTTTTGACTGTATAATATTATCTTTAGAAAACAATTCAATATAAATGTCTAATAATATGATGCATGCACACTTTGAATTAATTTTATTGGCATGTCCTCTTCAACAAATCAGTGTGACTAATTTGCTGTGATGGAAGGGGTTGCTTAAGTATAGAATATCAAAAAACCTTCATTGCCTAATAAAAGGTAACTGGTTTTTGGCATTGCTCATTTTTATCGCATTTTATATTGTTATTGTACTGAATTTTGTTATTTAGTATGCATTAAATTCTAAATTACATTTTACATTGCTTTACAATTAAGAAAATGTGAATTATTTTAAGAATAATTAATTCAAATTTCATGAATCTGTAAAATAAAACTTTGGCCGTATATTAGGAACATCAATTTTTATGAAAGACTTTCAAGCTAAGGACTGCAAAATATTGATTATGATTTATATTTAAGCAAAGGTTTTATAGAACTGGGAACTTTTCCAGTATTTCTTGAAAAAATTAGGACATTCCTTACAGCAGTGGTGTCCAACTTTTGGCCTCTTGCGAGCACATTTCCAAAACATCAATATTTTCATTAAACATATTTCCAATCTTATATAACACATCTGAAATATTAATTTCGGCAAATGGGTGTGAGATAAATAGTAATATTGGTTGAACTTTATAGAAATCAGAGAAGCAGAGTTCAAAATTATTTTTTAGTGCATTTAAGTTTTCCGAGTGTTTCTCTGTTTCAATTGTCTTGTAGTTATTAATATGCTTGATAAATTCTGAAAATGGGTGAAATTTTTTCCTTTCATCTGATTTATCCACAAATTTAACTTTATCTGAAAAGCAGTTACAGTCCCAGTCAATTAAAAAAGGATTTTTTTTCTTTTCCCTGGAGATCTTCGTTCAGTTTAGCTGTTATATCCATGAGAAAATACACATTGGGTAACCAATTATTATCGCCCAATTCTCTACAACCTTCGTTTCCGGATTCCAAAAACTGCTTTATTGGCGAAAGAAGTTCTACAAATTGTTGAAGTACTTTTTCCCTGCTGAGCCAGAAGCTATAAGATTCCATGTTCGCTATCAAGTTCATCAGTCAGCAATCAGTTATTTTATAACATCTTGCAAGGTATCTCTTATGACTATAAAAGCTTATCATATTTTAACAATTAAGAAATATAAATGAATGGTTATTTTTAAAATATTTTTTGTTCATAGTACCTAATTGGGCTGACGAGCATATACAAAACGATCAGTGAGCACAAGGTTGGGCACCGCTCCTTACAGTGTTTTACAAAAAAATGAACTTGAAGACTTTTAAATTTCAATAGAATTTTCAGTTTGCATTTATTAATAAAAATGATATCTAGAAGATTTTTTATTTAAAAAATTATTTATATCAAATTCCATCATTTCTTTATTCCTCTATTGTATTTCCCTTGTTTCCCTAATTCTGTAATGCTTTCTTCTAAAAAAGCTTTTCTGTAGCTAAGCCTTTTTCTCTTTGAAGGGGGGAATATGTAAGATGATTATGTAAATCAAAATTATAATTTAAACTAACGGTTACTTTTTAATTCTCCTTCCGTGTTCTAAAAATCATAATAACTTCTCTGTATTGCATCATTTTTAGATTATTCGATTTTGCATGGCCTGCACAGCACTAAGATGTAATAATTGGGAACTGAAACTTTTAGCTTGAACCAAAACCTTTCTCTTCGTGTGCTTCCATATTGCATAACTATGCACTTTAGTTTGACTTCTGCACTTGCTTGGGTGTAATTTCGCTGTGCTTGCTTGCTATCACCATAATATCAAAAATGTAAATGTTTTTGAATAAGCACGACTAGAGTGCCGAGTGAGTTGTGGCCACAAATGTCAGCTGGAAAATGAAAATGGAATTAAAATCGTCTCGACTGCCAAGTTTCTTAGATATTACCAAGTCAACATATTAGCATACTATGCAATCAGAATTCTTCCTCTTTAATATGGATCTACGTACACATCAACACTGCTTTGGCTTTTCCTTGCTATTATTGCATATATATATATATATATGTAAGATAAAAATATTTAAATCAAACTGTTAACTGTAATATACAGTACTCCCTTAACTCTTATTTAATTTTGTTATATCGCCTTACTATCCTAAAAATAGTAATTGCTTTTCTTAAATCTCTGGTCACTGAATTGATAGAGTCATGCAACTCATTGATTATGTTTTAATTTCATTGTTAATTTATTTACTATCACTTCTTCTTCAATTATATTTTTTTTCTGGATGTGTAATTTTTTATTAATTTTTTTAATATTACAATGTTGTTTACCTTAGAATTACTACTGCTAACATGAAAAATGTGTTATAGAGCAAAGTGGGAATATTGTTTATAAAACCACAAGTGATATCTCTAAAAAATGTCTCATTCAACTGTATAATCAGATATTTTGAATAGTGTTTTTAGACTGTAATAGGTTTTATGATGTATTTTACATTGCAAGATGTTTTTCTTATAAAAATTTATGGCTTGAATTTCATTAATCAGTGTTCTTTAATGTTGTTTACATTTTGTTTTAATATAATGTATGTTTAAACATAGAGTTTATTTGTTTACTTATTTTCTAGCATAGCTGTTTGCTTTGTGAGTGCCATATATACACTGATGATAGCTGGGTTTTCTTTATACCTCTTACTACAACAACTGTGGTTTGTATGTCACAATTCAACATTCGAAGAGTGGAAGCAGGGGCAGTTAGGCCTATATAGCAATGGAAATTGCAGGAATATCATCGATTTTTGTTATGGGTATTCCTAAAACCAAATATAAGAGAATGAAGCTATCGTTTTTGTTGTATCAGATTATATATATTAAAGACTAAGCAACTACATGTACTAACATTTAGCTGTTTTTGAAGTAACTGTTGGAAAAAAGCAATTTTCCGGTATTTACTTTACTAATATATGTGATAATTTGCTTTGCATTATTCAGTTATTTATTTTATGATGTATATATCTCATATCATTTAAATCAAAATATAAATCTGATGGAAATGAGTAAAATGCTGATCATCTATTTGTAAATATTTATATATTTAGTTTAAATTTTCTATGCATATTTAGTAATTTGATGATGTAACTTATTAATTTGATGCTTTGAATTAAGTATAAAACTTTTTAAACTTTTTTCTAATTAGTGCATCCTTTGTATAGAATATCTGCATTATCTTGTGCCTGTAATCGGCATCAGTGTTTAAAACATTATTTTATATTCTGATCTTTTTTACAAAAGAAATAAGAAAAGCATATAATAGAACAAGTGGAACCTGGTTATATATTCAAGTTCTGTGAAACACTGCCTAAAGTGTGTTATGGCAGATTATATAAATTAGTAATTTTAATACATTCTCCCTTAAGTAATGTAAATTATTTGAACATTCTTAAAGAGGAAATTAAAAAGATTTAAGTGATAGAAACAAAAATTATCTTCCTTATGATTTCTCTCTTTCTCATACTTGATGTGTAAGCAAATTGTTAATTAAGTAAAATATGCTAAATAATTGACAATATATGTTATTAGATAAATAATCAGAATTGAAATTCATAAAATTTGGTGTGGGAATTAAGACACAATAACACGCCGAATAAATACTAATTCAGAAGTCAAACAACAAAAATCAGCGTTATACCTACAAAATTTTCACAGGACTAGTTTCGATGGTTTTACCGAACCATCATCTTCAGCTGCAAAACCGCAAATGAACAAGATAGGAAATAATGATTAGATAAGATAAGAAAGCCTGGACAAGAATAAGCAAGTGGCGCCATCTGTTGGCGAAACCAGAACTAAAACATAATTTCTCTAAAAGCCGAAGGCAAATTTGGATTGGAATTAGGATCGTTAACTAGAACAGAAAGATTTTTATGAATGTGAAATGCCTCTAGAAAATCCAGTTCTCCAATGGAAGATGTTTTTTGAATAATTTTGGCAGCAGAAAAAATTGAAAGTGTGATTTTCAGACCAACAATGTTGAGCAACAGAAGACTTCTGTGTTTCCTTTTTTCTAACTATGCCTCATGTTCTTTGACGCGAAATTTTAAAGGCTCTCTTAGTTTGGGAATGTAAATTAAACCACCACTGGCAAGGAATCCTATAAATACCCAGGCCATTCATATCCAGAATGGGGTCCAGTTTGGTTTTGTATAGAAGTTGGAATTTATTGATGGGAGAATAAACAACCCGAAAGTTAAATTTCTGCAAAATATGTGCAACTTTATAGCTAATTGATGGAAAGAAGGGAATGACAACAGAATTTTTATAATCTCCTAAAATAAGAGTGTGGCTTTTAGTGTGTTCAGATGAGAATTTTTTAACTCCTTGATTAATAATGTTGGGTGAAAAGCCCCTGTCAATAGCTATTGCTTTTAAATAATTTAGTTCTTCATCAAGGGCTAATTTGGAGGAGCAAACTTGAAGAGCACGGAAAACATAGGAATAAAATGAAGCTAACTTTTGTTTAGTCGGATGACATGATTTAAAGTGTGGTGGAAGGCAAACCGATGAAGTTTACGGTAAAATGTAGTACTGAAGTTGGATGTGTTACGTGTGACCAGAATGTCGAAGAAACGGAAGAGAATTGCAAGTCTCAAGTTCAAAAGTGAAACTGAATAGCAGGATCAATAGAATTCATTGTTGAAAGAACTTTTTTAAATCATCTTTATTACCTTCAAACAGGGTAAAAGTATCGTCTACGTAGCGGAACCATGCCGGGAAGTTTAAAGTTTCAAAACAATTTTGATTCATAATAATGCATGTAGATATCAGCCAGGATGGGACTGAGGGGGCTTTCCATGGCTAATCCCTCAGTTTGTTTGTAATATTTTATTTGGAAAACAAAATGTGTTTGTTTCAAACAGAGTTGAGTGAGAGAAATTAGTCCTCAATTTCGATGCAAGAGAAATGAAATTCGCGAAGTCTGGTTTCTAGACATCTTAATGCACCCTCCACTGGGACATTGGTGAATAATGATTTTACATCAAAAGAAACCATGAGTAAATTACTAGGAGAAATGTTTTTAACCTTTTTACAAACTCTCTATTGAATTTTTTATGGTGTAAATGTTATTGTCTAATAGAGTGGAAAAATCTAGAAACCAAAATATTTAGCTAAAGGGATACGAGGCAGTACCTAAATTTGATACAATAGGGCGGAAAGGAATACCCACTTTTATGAATTTTTGGGAAGAGCATATAATCTAGGCACAATTCGCAACAGATGGATAAGCGAATGTTTTAAGTTGCTTGAAATGATTTGCGAAGATTTGATCGCAGTTTTTATTTTGGACAAGTCCGAAGGTGAAGGATCTTTAGGGATCGGATTATATGGTCCTTCGTTTAAGAGTTTAGTGATACCATCGATGTAAGTGTTCTTATCCATGACGATTATCTGGCCGCCTTTGTCGCCTTTGAAATGATAATATCGGGTTAGAATGAATGATTTCGCGCATGTAGCTCTTTCTCTCGCAGTTAGATTTGGTTTCAAAGGTTTATTATTGAATTTCACATTATGAGCGATAAGATGCCTAATCATTCTTTCTGTGAATCTGAAACTTTACTGAACTTGAAAGCTTTTTCGATAGGAGCCAAAATCTTTGGAATCGAGGGTTTACAGGTTTGTGAGAAGTTAAAATTATTTTTAGAATTCTCTCTTGTTCTTCTGAAAGACTAACATTAGAAATATTAAACTATTGGCTTGATGTTTACAATGGGAAAGATTTTTTGAACACTACTTGAACTGGAAGACTGTAAAAGAAGTTTTTTCGAATTTAACTGCAAGGGTGTTTTTATGACGGTTAACTGCATTCTTCGTTCTAGACCAAGACTTTTGTTCAAGGGCAGTGAATTTTGGATATGATTTACGAGTTCCAGATGAAGCTTTTCTTAGTTCATTTGTTCAATGTTTGGACTTTGTTGACGGGTATCCCCTTATATCACGGACCGAAGTAAGGCAAGCTTGCAATTTAACCGAATTCTTGAAACGCGACTCGAATTTTTTTGTTTAGATTTGATTTGAATAAAATGGGGATCAATTTAAAAGATCCTTCACCTTCGACTTATCTGCTAATCCTCTCTCGCAAATCATTTCAAACTGCAACTTCCGCAAAATTTCTCCGCTTCGCTTTATCCCATCTGTTGCGAATTGTGCCAGATTATATGCTCTTCCCAAAATTCATAAAAGTGGTAATCCTTTCCGCCCTATTGTATCAAATTTAGGTACTGCCTTGTATCCTTTAGCTAAATTTGGTTTCTAGATTTTCCACTCTATTAAAAATTCAATAGAGTTTGTAAAAAAGGTTTAAAAAAAAAAACATTCTCTCCTAGTAATTTACTCATGGTTTCTTTTGATGTAAAATCATTATTCACCAATTTCCCAGTGGAGGGGTGCATTAAGATGTCTAGACTCAGACTTCGCGAATTTCATTTTCTTGCATCGAAATTGAGGAGCTAATTTCTCTCACTCAACTCTGTTTGAAACAAACACACATTTTGTTTTCCAAAATAAAATATTACAAGCAAACTGAGGGATTAGCCATGGGAAGCCCCCTCAGTCCCATCCTGGCTGATATCTACTTGCATTATTATGAATCAAAATTGTTTGAAACTTTAAACTTCCCGGCATGGTTCCGCTACGTAGACGATACTTTTACCCTGTTTGAAGGTAATAAAGATGATTTAAATAAAGTTCTTTCAACAATGAATTCTATTGATCCTGCTATTCAGTTCACTTTTGAACTTGAGACTTGCAATTCTCTTCCGTTTCTCGACATTCTGGTCACACGTAACACATCCAACTTCAGTACTACATTTTACCGTAAAACTTCATCGGTTTGCCTTCCACCACACTTTAAATCATGTCATCCGACTAAACAAAAGTTAGCTTCATTTTATTCCTATGTTTTCCGTGCTCTTCAAGTTTGCTCCTCCAAATTAGCCCTTGATGAAGAACTAAATTATTTAAAAGCAATAGCTATTGACAGGGGCTTTTCACCCAACATTATTAATCAAGCAGTTAAAAAATTCTCATCTGAACACACTAAAAGCCACACTCTTATTTTAGGAGATTATAAAAATTCTGTTGTCATTCCCTTCTTTCCATCAATTAGCTATAAAGTTGCACATATTTTGCAGAAATTTAACTTTCGGGTTGTTTATTCTCCCATCAATAAAATTCCAACTTCTATACTCAGGGACCCCATTCCGGATATGAATTCCTGGGGTATTTATAGGATTCCTTGCCAGTGTGGTTTAATTTACATTGGCCAAACTAAGAGAGCCTTAAAATTTCGCGTCAAAGAACATGAGGCATATGTTAGAAAAAAGGAAACACAGAAGTCTTCTGTTGCTCAACATTGTTGGTCTGAAAATCACATTTTCAATTTTTCTGCTGCCAAAATTATTCAAAAAAACATCTTCCATTGGAGAACTGGATTTTCTAGAGGCATTTCACATTCATAAAAAATCTTTCTGTTCTAGTTAACGATCCTAATTCCAATCCAAATTTGCCTTCGGCTTTTAGAGAAATTATGTTTTAGTTCTGGTTTCGCCAACAGATGGCGCCACTTGCTTATTCTTGTCCAGGCTTTCTTATCTTATCTAATCATTATTTCCTATCTTGTTCATTTGCGGTTTTGCAGCTGAAGATGATGGTTCGGTAAAACCATCGAAACTAGTCCTGTGAAAATTTTGTAGGTATAACGCTGATTTTTGTTGTTTGACTTCTGAATTGGTGTGGGAAATTTTCGAAAAATTTTTGCCACTATTTATGCAGTTAAAAAACTTGCTTGTATGTGTATGTTACCAGCAAAATTTGAAATCCGGCAATCCGTAGAATGCTTAGGCATTTTTAGGCAAAATATGAAATGATTACTATTTCACACATTTTCTATGTCAGGAGTTGACAATCTTTTTGGAGTTAAGAGCCATTTTTCTCTGATGTAGTAAATTATTTTTTTTAAGAGCTAAATATCAGGAACATACATCAGTAATATTAGAAAATAATATTAGAAAAAATAATATTAACACTTATCTGCTGTTGAAACATGTATTTATTGTGACACGAAAACATTTCGTTTTATGTAGTAACAGAACATATAATTCAACTTATTAAAGAAAACAGGTAAACTTTTTCATAACTAATTAAAATAAATATAATAGTAGAAACCTAATTTCAGTAGGTTTATGTACCTTTGTTAAACCCTTTAAGGGGGGTTATATAAAATAATTTAAATTGGGGTAAAATTTTGCATTAATTGTAACTTATGGAGCCTAAGAAAACAAAATTGAGACTTAAAAAAATCTAGATTTAAATTAATTTTGCGTACTTTTGATGTGCGTCTTATAGAGATGTGTGCTTGAATATAGTTATGTAAGTCTGAAGACAAAAACTTACATAGCTATATTCAAGCACTAAAATTTCACTAGAAATTAAAAAAATAAAATTTATGTTTTTATGCACTTTGATGATGCAACCCAGCTGAACATACTTATGTAAAACAAGGGTAAAAAGCTTTTGAAATTGATTCAAATTCAATATTATTTTGATGAAAAAATTTAACAAATATAACACTGCATGTATAAACTGTTTCATGCTGTATCTGATTTAGAATAATGTTATAAGGAAATGCAGCTCAGTCAAAAA